TACTTTTTGGTGTTCCGATTGAGCCGGAAAATAAGGTAAATTCTTGCATATTCCGTTTGTTTTGATATTACTTTTTTCTCAGTGTCCTTCGTTATTTTTAAAATTTAAAAAAAAAAGAAAGAAAGAAATTAGACAGAAAAAGTTGCTTAAGTTATCACAAAATAAAAGAAAAAGCTTTAATAACAGATCTAGACCATTTATAGTGGAAACTGGAACTTTTCAGGTTATAAGACCAGTAAAAATACCAGCCAAAAACATTTTTAAACGAAATAAAAAACAGAATACCTTAAATAACTTTAGGTTTAAAAATCGGATTTCACGCACTACAGTGCAATTTTAATGATTCAATTGGCAGACGTTAAATATGATGATTAAGAGCTGAAGATAATAGGCAAGTTATGAAAAACATACTTCATCAAGAGAAACACATCTTTTTTACGAAGCATTCAGATTTTTGGTTTAAATTCTAAGAAGTAGCCACACTTTAGAAATTATGGTACAAATAGTTTATGAGAGCGTTCGTGCCTCTTTTAGTTAATTTTACTTCTTGCATATTTTGCCATATATCTAGAACTATTTAAGTGATTCAAAAAGTATTTGATGGGAATAAAAAAAAATTTTTAAGTAATTTTGTATAATTATTTAATTTAATATTAATTTAAACATTTTTAACATGAAAGCCAAGCAAATTTTTGATTAGCAGCTTTTAACACAGCTTTTTGTACTTTCTTTTGAGAAGTTCAGAAAAATGCTTTACTAATTACTAATAACTTTTTTAAATTTTGGCCATACTCAAATTGAACTTTTTCATAACTTGTGGAGAATATGTTATTTATGCACACCTCTGCGCGGTATAAAATAACTATACTTAAATACTAAATTTTCAACATTTCCTTTTATTTTCAAAATTTAACTCAATGTTTACTATGTTTTATTATAAACTATTTCGCAATACTCATTAAATTTCCTAAATCCAGTGAACGCTGAGTCATATTAAAAACTAAGTAGTAGTAGAAAAATTATGAAATTTATTGCCGAATTTTGGATGCAACTAGAATCTTTTTGCTATATATATATGTTAACTCAAAAGATTCCTAAAGAACTACTGAAAGTCGTTCAAACATTACGCAAGCACCCAATAGGGTTAGAGGAGTCTCTTAATTTGTTTATTCTTGTTGATAAGGGGGGACGAGTATGAGCAGTTCTTACGTGAATCATTAAAATCTTGTTATTTTCAAAATTCTCGTAGAAAGAAAATAGAAAAAATTGAAGCAAAAAATTACACATTGAAAAATTTGGAATAAGAGTTAATAGAGTAGGAATAAGAGTTGGGGAAGAGAAAACCAAAAAAAAGAACATTTCTTCAAAGAATCTTAAAGATCAAAAAAGTCAAAGTTAAAGCAAAAACTAGGGAAGGGGGCTGTTGCAATTTTGTTACGTAAGCACGGGAGGGATTTACGAATTACTTAATGTTTCTGACAAAGGGGTTGGGGAATCCAAAATTTTCAAAAACATGCTTACGTAAAATTTAAATATTCCCCTATGGAATGTTAGCGATACAAGCAGCGTGATTTTCAAATTAAAAGGGTCTAAAAGGGACCGTCCGAATAACATGTAAGCATGTTTTTGACAATTCTAAACTCCTTCTACGCACCCCTTTCAGCGTAATCCCTTTCAGTAAAAATAAGTAAAACATAAATCCTTCACACGCTTACGTAAGAAAGTCACAACACTTCTTTTATATTTCCTTCAATTTGATATTGACTTTTTTAACAATCTTATTTTCGAATTAAATACAAATAAAATCTGTAACTCTGCATAAACAAAGTTTTAGTTTAAATTTACTTCATAAAATTTTGAGCGCTGTCTTCTGTGTTTAAAAGTCTTGACCCGTAAGACTCTGAAAAAAATTTTCATACTTTTTCTTTCCTTAAATTTACTTTTTATTTCAAATATAAAATTTTCTAAAGTTTAATATTTCTGCAATTTTTTATACATATTTTGCATTTTAAAAAGAAAATTGAAAATAAAGGATTTTAATGTCTTACGCAAATAAGGAGATTTTTGTATCATACACTTCGGACCCCATGTTAATAAATATAAGTAAGACACCAACACCCTTTTCCCTTAGATGCTTACGCAATATTTGAACGTTTACATAATAAATATTTTGTTAGCTTTAAATTAAATTAAAGTTTTTGTCTGTTAGCTTAGAGAAAATTGAAAGCCATACTGTGAACGCTGTAAAGGAACGGCACACCATGATCTCTGCAAATTAATCCATAATTCTATAACCATAAAAATAAGAATAATAAAATCATAATTCGACGAAATCAGGAGAAAACAAAGCAGATTCTAAAAGAAACATCAACAGTGTTAAAAGAAACACTCCTTTTCGTTTGCAATTATTTATCTCTTATACTCCTCGTGACAAAATATTTATTGAAATGCCCGACTAATCAAGTGATCTTCATGTATCGATACACTGATAGAAATTTCTTGGAAAAATGGTTAAGTAACAATTTATTTAATTGTTATTTTACCAGATTCAAACAAAACAGCCAAATAACCATAAATAAGGTGGTATTCAAACTGCTCACTATGAAAAAAAAACGTTTATTATCTACTTTCACATAATACTCTTAAACAATCAGAATTTTATCGCACCAATTAGGCCCACCTAATAAAGCCACTTAGTTCCTTGCTGCTGGGTACCTATTATGGGTGAAAAGGGAAATCAGTCAGTCTCATGACAAACAAAACGGGAGGAGGATTCAAGTCCCAGGGCTAAAACCACAATATTTCATCCTCTCCCTTCAACAAGTGAAGAATTTCCAGTTTCCTGGACTCCCCAATTTGTGACCCTGGACTATTAAAATACGATACTCTCATTCACGCACAGATTGCTTTACCATAATGCTGCCTAACACAAAAAAATCTAGTATTTCCCATCTCTTACGATAGGTAAAACGACCTGATAAACCAATTAAACTGCATTCAACGGTTCATTTGATAAACACAACTCAACCACAACCTAACTTCAATGCCCATTATCTTACAAAAAGCACAGGTTCAATATTCAGTTAAACAGTTAAATTTCTTTTTTGCGGTTTTGAAGCGATGCGAGTACTAAAGGTAAAGAATGCTCTTTACCGTAAACTTTACGGTTAATTGGATGGGCAGACTGTTGCTGGTCATTTCACCATCCTTTTAGATAAAAATAAATAAATAAATAAATGAAAGTTGTAACAGAGTAAGAGTGAAAGAGTTCTCTTTTATTTTCAAAATTCATGTTGAGTTCAATTGGAAAATTAGGAAAAAACTTTTTCACGAATTGTCATTCTCTTTTCAAATTTTAAAGAATATATTTCACCTTAATACGTGCGTATCAGAAATTATTAAAATGAATAACTCATTGAAAGAAGTACAAATAAATAAATAAACAAATAAAATTTCACTTATATGAGTTAAGTACTCTAAGTATATTTTTCCTATAGCATTTACGCAACATTTAAGAAAAAGAGAAGAATATTCCCTTTCTGGAAAATTTTTTTTTACTTTCGTCTTAAGGAGAATTTATGTCCGAAATTCCCTTATTTACTTAATAACTAATTAATATATTTCACCAACTTTTGCTTTATTTTGTTTACTGAAATATATTTTATTGAATTTATTTATAGAAATTGAAATTTTAAGGTTATAAGTATCTTTAAAACTTCTGAAAAAATGAATGTTTTTCAATGCTAACGTTCTAAAAATGCTTACAATCTAAAAACTTAAAATTTGGCAATTAAGTTCAATAGAGCATATTTCAATGAATAAAATGAAACTACCGTTTTTCAAACTGATAACTGCCGCTTGATTTCTATTTGCTCCTAATATTTTGACAACGTTGCTAAATTGTTTTATATTTGTGCATAAAAAGTGAACTTTGGTTACTTAAATAAAATTATCGAACCATAAGCTTATTAAGCTTTAAGAGTTCTAATTTAATTAATAACAGTTTTAATTTTTTTGAAAGTTAATAAATTTTGAAATATTTTCATTTTCCTCAAAATTCAAAAAAAGCAAAATAAATTTATAGAGTTTTTTCTCACTTTTTCTGTGAGTGACATTGCTCAACCATAAAGTGAGATCGCTAAAGCTGTTTTTAACTTACAATTAACTTAAATTAAAAACTTACATTTAAAAAAAAATGACAAAATGATAAATCTATAAAGTCAGTTAAAATAAAAAAAATCTATAAAAGTAAATTTTTCATAAGATTCACCTATAACTTAGAACCGATTCATCAATTTCAAAAAATGCATGTCTTTGTTCAATCAATAAACAAACATCTTTACTGCAGCTTAACTACAAAAGAAAAAAAATCTACTTAGCTAGATCACCAAGTAAAAGCACTATCTGTTTATCATCTAAAACTTTAATTACGAAATCTTCGAAAACCTTCCATTTAAAAAAAAAAAATCTTTCCCGTCTAGAGCCACGTGACCAAATTTCTCGTCAATTCAACTCCTTTTTAAACTAATTAATTGTATAAGTTTTTTTTAAAAAAAAATGAAAGCAGGCGAAGGGAGTCTTTTGAATGAACTAATAACGCACCAGATGGTTGACGGGGACCCCCCTATTTTCAGATCAAACATTGAATCTGATGAGGATAATCAACTAATAGAAGAGGAGAGACGGTCCGTGAAAGACGTTGTCCAAACCATCCCTCACCCTCCTTACCAATTTTCTACTGATTCCGATAATGGTCCAAATGAGTAGCCATAGCCCCACTGACCATTCTCACTCTTTGCACATAGCAAAGCCTCACTGATTACCAGCTCAACAGATAGGATTTGCTGCCCACAGCTAGACTTGTTAAGCTCCGCCTACTTTTGACGTCACGACTGCCACTCAGAAAGGGTGGGGGAACACTGATACCAACCAATGGTGAAAAGAGGCGGGTCTTAGATTGCCATCGGTTGTGTTTGTGAAGTCCTACACGCGACTAGTCCACATGGAGTACTTCCAAAAGGCGAGTCCCTAGTGTTTATCTAGTATTATCTAGATGCCCCTTATCTTGTAAAGTTGTCGACGAAAAAAGAATCGAAAACGAAACTTCGATTTTGACTTCACTTGAAGATGATCTTCTGATAAAGTATTCTGGGGTGCTAATAAACGGAAAAAAATTATTTCTGGTCGGACTGACCCTTTGGACATGGATGGCGGCTCTCCTCCTGAAAGATCGAATTCTGAAATAAATCTTGGTAATTTCGATGCTTTGGGGAAAGGCAAGGGTGGGATGTTGCCAGTTTTGCAAGCACAAACCCCCATGTCCCACACACCTTTCTCCGTGGATGATATCCTGGATCCAACGAAGTTTACGGGTGCCCGTGCCAGCAGACTGCGGGAAAGCACGTGGCATCCTTGGCAGAAAGCAGAATTATCCGGAAGTGATTCCGAAAATGACCAGGACTCTCTTCGAGGTGAGACATAAATTACTTATTTTGATTAACTTGTCTTGACTTTGAATCGTTAAATCAAAAACATCAGGGAAAATGTTATTCTGAAATTTATTAAATTATTTTTAAATCATTCTTTTAATACCTAAATTGATGATTCTTATTGAAAGATGGTTCTTTTGCGTTTTTTGAGTAGTAACAGGAAAATATCTTCTCTAAAGTGTTAATTACATTCAGATTTAAAACATGCAAATCAGCGGAAGAAATTATATGGAGAAAAAATATTACAAAAACTAAAGAAAATATATTCATAATTAAAAGCTTAATTTATTTTGTGCTTAATTTTTTTAGTGTTTAGCGCTTAGTTCTTTCTTTGACGTTTTTTTAAATTCAAAACAAATTTTATGAAGTTTTGGAATCGAACCTTCATTAGTTATTTTTTCTTCTTCTTTTCTGACGTTGATCAATTTTATCGGAAGTTTAGTTGGAAATTGCAGTTTTACTACAGTAAAAGTTTGATTAATCCATTACTTCTATTTTTGAAACTAGAAAGCATTTTTCTTCAAAAAGGTTACTTCTCTTTTTTATCGCTTGCACTGTTTATTTGAACTTATGCAGTGGCGTGCGAAAGTTTCCGGACAGTTTATTGTTACTTTAATTTGTATATTGTTACTTTAATTTGATGACTATAAAAATAAAATAAAACTTATTTGTGCCAAGTATTACTCAGTTTCTTTTAAGCATCGTTAAAAAGATTTGTGTATCTTTTTAAACTTTAAGCAGCTGAAAGCTGAAAAAAGTTATTTTAAAAAAATGGCCAGTGATTTAGCACATGTAAAGGCATGAAATTTGGAAAAGCCGGTTGGGAAAAATCATAAGCGATTTTATAAACTCATATTGCAATCTATACATCTTGCTATTGGTTTCTCCGATATTTTTTTAATTACATTCAACAATAGTAAAGCATTTCCTTTGAAATTTAGCTTATTTCTTCATTTAGAGTAAAAATGATAATTAAATGCACTGAAAATTATATTAGCTGCAAGAGTCTTATGAATTTTGCTGCTAAGCAATAAAAAGAAATTTATGACATATATTTCAATACTAAACTAGAAGAATTTTAATCAAGTTATGCAGATAAAGTAAATAGGACTAAGAAGAGTTTTTAATTAATGATTTAAAATTTGCTGTAAAATCTAAGAATGAAAAACACAATAAAATTAGAAAACTGAAAAAATTATTTGCAAGATGGTAAAGTTATTAGTTAATTTCTTAATACTTTACTTAATACTTTTAATTAGTTAATACTTTAACACTAAATTTTGCAAATCATTTCACTTTGATCTGTAAAATAAATAAAAATTCTTTTTAATTTTTCTTTAAACGTAATGCATAGCTAGAATACAAATTTCAAAATACTTCATAAAATATGTTTTTTTTCTTTATTTCTTCAGCTTTCAAAATTGGTGTTAAAACGTAAGTTAAGGATTAAATAAGCTTCGAACTTCAAGTTTAAAAAACGGACGTCATTTTTGCCAAACCCTTACTCATATTTTTCGATATGTCAAATACAATAATTAATCTTACTAATTATTTTTAATGATCGTTAAAGATGCATTTGATTTATAATTCTGCAGCGTATTCATTAATATAAATTTAAATCATTATTAAAATAATTAACAAATCATTATTAAAATTAATTTTAACATTATGGTTTAAAACTTTAATGATCAGCATGATTTAAAAATTAATATTTTTCTCTAAGAGTCCTGAAATATTTCAGAAATTAATAAAAAAAGCAAAGTTTAAGTTTTAAACGATTGAATCGTAAAAAGAAATACATTTTTATTTAATAATTTCTACCTAAGTGTTAATACCAATGGACAAAATATCTTTAAGTTTAAAGTTATGCTATTAAATCAAATAAAATCTTTAACTTTTATTGTAAAATGTTTATTAAATGATAAATTTGAGTGGATCGACTGTGTTCATTTTGTTTGAAATGTAAAATCATATTTAAAATAATAAACATTTTAATTAAAAACAAATTAACGAACTTTATGTAAAAAAATTCAAACGAGAAATTAAAAAATACAAGCATAAATAAATTTAAAACAAAAAACACCAGCCCCAATAAATGAATTTAAAAAACAGAAAAAATCTAAATGAATAAATAAATGTAAAACTCGAATATATAACGAATATATATCGAATATAAAACTCGAATATGTAAAAAAAACATGAATTTATTGAAATATATTAGAAGATACAAAACTACATTTGAAGATTCTTGTTAGTAATTAAGTAACTCATATAAACAATTAAGCAATTTGTTAATATTATTAACGCCAAGTCGTTAGTATAATTATATTTAGTTGCAATGATTTTAAAATAATTTAAAAGTTAATTTATCGTATAAAGTAAATAGGTAATCAGCATGGTAATATACATGCATTAATATCATAAAATTTAAGCCTATAAAAGCTACAGCGTTACTACCAAACTATGTAAAAATCGCGTTTTAAAAATTATTTTAGGTGAAGTATAAAAGTGATTTTAGGCCCATCTAAACTTTTGTAAGGCTATTAATGGACTTCTTGCTGAATTAGTGAGCAGCATTAATAACCTGATTATATACATTTTATTTTAAAAACAATGACCTTGAAATACAAAGTGCATTACTTTTTACTTGAGTACATTATTTTCTTAAGTATTTAAACTTGAAAAAAAAAACTTGTCACAATGATTTCCAATGTAAAAATTAACATACCTCAAACATACTTGAACATACCCAAAATGAAACCTCATCAATTGAATTCACCCACTTCTCCCTAGCGATTACTCTGATATTATGTTTTTTATTTATTTACGTTTAAGCAGTCAGTCATTTAAATTACACTTATGGTGTTATGGTTAATTTTATAGTTTTGCTTATTTATTCTTTTGTTTGCTTTATTTGTTAAGATAGTTTTCAGTTCCGTTACGGTAATTTTTTAAAAGCCAGTTTTTTTTTTTTTTTTTTTTAAATGAAACTTTATCGTTTAGGACATCTTTTATTTTAAAAAAATTGTCTACGTAAATTTTAATAAATATATATTCGTGGTTGAATATTGATTTAAAATTCACATTAAAAGTCAATTTTAAAAAATCGAAGAAAAGTGCTTTAAAATATGAGATTTAAAAAATTTGTCATTTTTATTATTATTATTATTTATTTTTTAAAATATTGATTTGTTAGAAACTGCCTGGCATTTAAAGTCTCATTGGTTAATCATTTGGGAAAAGACAGCAACAGCAATCAGTTGCTAATAATATAATAACAATGTTAACATAACATTACAATAATGATATCAAATTTAGCTGAATATTGTTTGATGATTAACTAATTGTTTTACAATGGCTAACTGAATGAGTTACAATTATTACTTTATTTTGCATTACTTGACTAGATATTTCACAATTTTTTCGATAATCAACGAAATATCTTACAATAATTCTCTTAAAGTTGGCTACAGGTTGCTATTATATCAGCAGGTTTGTACACTGTAAGAAAAAATCCCGAAACATTTCAGAAAACACGGGCAGGCTACGGTGCATGTAGTTTTCAAAAACGTCTCTGAATATTTCGGAAACCTCTTTCTGTAATATTCAGAAACATAGGGCAGTAATTCAGAAATATTTTCTATCATTTCTTGCAGTTTCGGTTTTTTTTTCTTGTCTTTTTTTTAAAAAAAAAAAAACGTATTTTGAAGTGTTTTCTGTAAGCGTTTTTTAATATTTCAGTAACCTCATGGAGTTAGTCAACCAACAATGTCAACCATCATGTATCGAAAGGTACCGCAAGATAAAAATCGAGTTAACATGTCTTATATACAAGTGAATTGGAATTTATAAATTGCAGTGGTAGCTAGGCTACACTCTGAAACTGAATCGGCATCAATGCGATTCAATTTCCTACTCAATTGATGGGAAACATGATATTAAATGAAGTTGTCCGAGATTTTTGGAAACATTTTTGTCGTGTCAAAATTAGTTCCTGAAATTTTTTATAGTGTAATAGAGTTGAGCTCGTTATAGAGAAGGTTTGCTAGTTTTGCTGGTTTTAAATGAGCTAAGGAATATTTTTCATATTTTCCAGAAGATTATACTCGATGCATCAAATATTGAGGCATTTAATTAAGGGGCACCCGTTTTAATACTGTTTATAAACAACTGAATCTTATATTAGTAACGTATCGGTATATGATATTTTAAATTTATTTACGTTACCTATAAAAGTTTTACCAGTACATAGAAATGAAAACTCAGTCAAATTTATTCCATGTAGTTACTAGAGAGCATATGTCTAAATCCTATCAAAATGACTTTCTGTACTTTCGAACAAATCTGAAAACTCAAGCAAATTTTTGATTAAAGCTTTGCAATGAGCACAATAAAGGAATGATAGTAATCTCAATTTGAATCGAAAAAATTTGAGTGCGCATAATTCTATCCCTACGCTAAGCATATGTGCTATTAATATGTTATCCGGATACCTCTCAAAAAGATTGCAAACCATCGAAAATAATATCAGGCACATTGACATCCATTTTTTCAAATGCATGGAAACTTCTATAATTGCAAAACTTGGATATAGGAAGTTCATACATTAGTTAAAACACTAAAACGCTTATCGAAAGAGCAAAAAGTACATTGTTAGAAATTAAGGATCATGTTTAAACATAATATCTTTTTTACTGCAACCTTGGTACAGAACAGAGGTGAATCTTAAAATCTTACTTTATAAACTCCATTATTCGATACAATGTTTCAGCTTGAAATGAATCATGATTCAATTTAGCGCCTTATTAAAGTTGTAACAAGTTTGCTGTGGCATTATGATTCAAGGTGGCGATATTATGGCTACCCATTAAACAGGTTTATCTGAGAGTGTATAATATTATATATATTATTATATATAGTAAAGCATTCCCGTTGTGCGCCAGGGGTGTTTTGAAGGTTAAGTCCTCAACGCTATGATGGGT